CATGTCAAAAGAAGCAAAGTAGGACGAGCGATCAGAACACAAGGCGGGCGGGAATAAAGCCATAACTCAAGGCAGTTACTTGAGCGTGAAAGGAATTATGTGATCCGATTTGATTGATGTGGTACCGGGCTATAACCGCCCGCTACATAAAGTCCACATCCAATTATTGTTTTTAGAGTAGAGATTTATGCTCACTATATAATTGTTGTGACTTGTATGGTGTACTCATCCATTTGAAATACTCCTATGGCGTATAAATACCCTCTTGTCGGCCAGCGGAGTATATTATATCAAAAATGATGTTTGTACGCACTTTTATACACACTTTTGTACACACATATGTCTGTGAAAGCTTTTTATTTGTCTGTGAACATCGATTCACAGAAAATGTTTTGCACAAACAAAATATTGTCTGTGAACCGGATTCACGGAAGAAAAAAAAGCTTCACAAACATGGTGTGTATAAGGTGTGTACAAGGGTGTGTACATCAAGAATGATTGATATTATATACTACAGCTTAATTGCAATAATATATAGGGTGCTTCTACGGTGCACTCCTTAATTTGGTGTGTTTTGGTACACATCCTTTTTAACCACCCATCCCATTATATCTTAATCTTACGCCACCTAATATCATCATTAACTAAACATAATAATTTGCCATTTTTGCATTTAGATCCTTCACCGGATTAGAAAAAAAAGGTTAAACTGAACAAAATCGTCAAAGGAGATTTATTTAAATAGGAATAAATAAATATTTAATTGTCAAAGTATGTGCAATGTTTAAAAGTATTCTAAATAGGAATTTGGCCTACACTGACGCCAGGGGCGGATCCAGAAAGTTACAATGGGGTGGGCTGGGAAAAAAATTGAAATACACATAAATAATAATAAGTCAAGTCGTCAACGCTTACAAATTCATTAAAACATCATTTAAGTTGTGCCCTACACGACTTCAAAGTATAAAATTCATCAATAATAGAATCTATATCTATATTATTGACAAAGTCTCGTTCAATGTAGATCATCAATGAATCTTCAAGAAAATCGTCTCCCATTTTGTTACGAAGTGCCGTCTTCACATGCTTCATTGCTGAAAATGCTCTTTCCGTAGTAGCAGTAGAAACAAGTAAGGTCAAAACTAGACGAATTAGTCTCGTCAACATAACATAGATTTCTGATTTCCCACTCTCCGTCAAATGTTGACATAACTCAACAAGTGTGGACGCTTCAGATGTTGAAACAATATCATGCTTGTAGTGAATCAACTCATACTCAAGTGAGACAATGTCTTGATCAGTGAAATCTGCAGGATAAAACTTTTTTGCAAGTTTACAGATATCCTCACTGTTAAATGAGCTGAAGGGGTTCTTGGGATCCAAAGCAAGACTAAGTTGAAGAAGTTCTATGGATGTATCATTAAAGCGCGTGCCTAACTCAGTCAAAGTAAAATCAATCACTTCATTGAAGACATCAAAATGATAATGATGTTCTATTGTTGGTTGGAAACGAGAACGCCCAATCTTATATGGATCACCCAAATTTGGAACATCAATATCATTTGAAGAGCAAAAACTCTTCACTTCTTGAAGAAATACCTCCCAACCAGATGCTCTTAACTCTGCAAGGATAGTTTTAGTAGTACCAACGAATGTAATAGCACTCAAAATATCAAGAGTTTTTTTTTGAAGAACCTGGCAAAGAGCATCAGTTATTCTCAGAAGTTTATGCATCAAATGTAAGACAAACACAAATTCAAAGCTTGCCATTTTTCTATAGGTCCCAAGAACTTCAGCTTTAGATCTTCCATTTGGAGAGTTCTCAACCAAATGTTCAAACACTTTGCAAGTTGCGGCATACATGTTTATCAAACTCTTCACGGAGCTATAGTGAGAACCCCAACGAGTAGATCCAGATCGTTGCAAATTACCAACTTGATTTGCACCACGTCCCAACTCGCGTTCCCCGGTTGCTAATAACTTCTCAATTTCACTTCTTTGAGACACGTGCAACTCCGATACCCGCTTTGGTGAAGAAGTGATAATATTAACAATATTATCCAAATGAGAGAAGAATTCCCAAATTAAGCTAACATCCTTAGCCGCAGAAACCAACGCAAGTTGTAAGCGATGTGCAAAACAATGAATGTAATATGCATAAGGAAAATCTCTACGAAATAATGCCTGAAGGTCATTAAATGAACCTCGCATATTACTCCCACCACCATAACCTTGGCCTCTCATTTTTGAAAGTTGTAGATCATGATTACCAAGCACATCACATATTTTACCTTTCAAGGTACTTGCTACAGTGTCACTAACACTTCTGATGGCAAAGAACCGCTCTGTAAGAATTCCCCTGCTGTTCACAAACCGTATAATAATCGCCATCTGCTCCTGTTTAGATATATCTTGTGCTTCATCAACAAGAATGCAGAAACAACTATTTGCAATTTCTTCACGAATCATTTGACGAACTCTATTTGCCATTATATTCAAGATCTCTTTTTGAATGTCGGGAGCAATGTACTGAGCATTTTTAGGAGCATTCTCAAGTACAACTTCATGAACTTTGGTATTCATAGTCGCAAAAGCTTTCACTAGTTCAATAAAATTTCCCCGATTTGATGATGTTACAGATTCATCATGACCTCTAAATGCACAACCTTGAAGTGCCAACCATCAAACAGTTATAATAGAAGTTCTCAATCGCAAACGATTTTTCTCCTTATCTTGTTGCGATTGGGCATGAAAAACATTCTTAATATGGCCAGATGGTTGGCTCAAATTTTCAGCTCTTTGAACACACATCATATGAGGTGATTTTTCTGAAATACCAATGTGTTGAAGAAATGCACATTGACTTCCTTGATTTACCCTCTTCCAACATTGAAATCCTTCGTTAACTAATGCAGAAGTAGTATGCATATGAATGTCACTCAAGAAAAGGAAGCAGAAAAAACAGTAAGCTTTATCAGTCACAGGTGAATACTCTAACCAATTAAACTTGTCAAACCAGTGTTTCTGAAAACTTCGGTTTTGAGCTCCAAACTTTTTCACTAGATAAGCTTCCATTCTCGGTTGATAAGGCCCAACATTTAGATATGCACGTCTAACTTCATCTCGCACATTAACATGGTATTCATGAATTTGTTTTCTTTTTCCCGGATCCCTCTCAATGGAAAAAGATGAAGGGAACTCAAAATTGGAGATAGATTGGATTTCAGGGACTAGGACATGTGAAGGAACCTCATTGACTAGATCTTGCACTATCGTAGGTATAGGTTCAGAACTTCCTTCACCAGTTTGACGATTCACTTTTGAAAAGAATGATGAAATCAACTTCTTTCCCTTCTTCGCAACATGTTCATTATCCATTCTAAAAAAACATTTTCAATATTGGTATAAATTAAAAAACTTATATAAAAAATATTTAACAGATTCACTCATTCAGTCTAAAATGCACAATTCACATATTCACTCTAAATTCTAAAATTACTAGTATTGTTCAACCTAAAATGCACAATTCACAGATTCACTCATTCAAAGTTCACAGATTCACAGCAGAAGTTCATAACTTCACTGATTCACAATAAAAATTCAACACTTCATCCCTGAAATTCTGAAAACAACAAAGAGGTCAGAGGATTTACCTGGTCGGGCAGTCGGGCAGAGGAAGAGGCGGTCCGCGGTCGGGCAGAGGAAGAGGCGGTCCGCGCCTCCGCGTTCTCCGGTCGGGCAGAGGAAGAGGCGGCTCGGTCGCTGCTCGTTGGGTGTCGCTCGGACGGCTCGGTCGCTGCTTGGTGGCGTCGGCCGCGTCGCTGAGTCGCTGCTGCAGTGCTGCCTTCGCCGGAGTTCGCCCTTCGCCAGTTCGCCCAAATCCCAATACTTCGTTCGACTTCCGCAATCCGAGGCTGGGAGACCGACGGTGAGAGGCTTACGCATTTAGGAATTAGGCAGAGGTGGGTTGATTTTTCTGGGCTGGGCTGGGAATTATTTGTGGGGTGGGCTGACATTTAAATTTAGGGTGGGCTGAGAACAAAAAATAAACCTATCCTATTTAAAAAAAAAATTGGGCTGGGCTGAAGCCCACCCCTGGCCAAGGCACCATCCGCCCCTGACTGACGCCGATGCCTGGTCAGATCTGGGCGTCACCGATCTGACCACCGACATTACACATCTTGCCATGAATCACCACCGTACATCTGACCAGATCTGGCCACGTCGACCGCTGACGTTAAACATGCGGTCTCTACCGCTAAAGATTTGCCCTACACTAACACCGACGCCGCAGATCTAGATCACCGGCATAGGGAACTAGGGGGCAATTGTTTATAGGTTGAAATATGATTAAGTCCCTGCAATTTTTTTTATGTTTTTCATCCTTGTATTATGCATTATTTTCTTTTTAGTATATCACTAAAAAATTTCATCCCTATAAATTTTTTGAGGAAAATATGAGAGTTAAAAAAATAAAAACTAATCACTCACATTTTTAAAATACGTATTAAATTCCATTATTATCATCGGCGGTAGACTAAAAGAAAAACTAACATACATTTTTGAAATGAAAAGAAAAATTGCAGGGATACTATGTTTGCAGAGACTGAAACAATATTTAAACCTTAATTATATTAGGAAGGACAAATATGGTATAAAAGTCCTATTTAAAAAATAAAAATATACATAGTCCTATTTAGAAATTTAAGAAACAATTCAATCATATTTAGGCTAATAACTCAATCCTCACAACAAGTCGTTAATCATATTTAGTAGCACAATACTAAAATGTGATTGGATAAGAAAATGTGTGTACCGGTGCACTCAAAATTTAGGAGTGCACCGTATAATTTTCCTTTTATATATATATATATATATATATATATATATATATATATATATATATATATATATATATATACACACACATATAATATGATGGTTTCATCAGTGGGATTTAGTTGGCCAGTCTTAATTTGGCAGATGATATTTGTGACGATGACGATGATGAGTGCAAGCTCGTCGGTGCTAACCATAACGCAGGAGGGGCACGAGAAATGGATGAATTATTATGGACGTGTGTATGAAAACGAGATGGAGAAGGAGTCTCGGTTTGCAGTATTCAAAGAGAACCTGGAGTTCATTCACGCCTTCAACCGGAAGAAGAACCGGTCTTTCAGGCTCGGCGTCAATGCCTTTGCTGATTTGACTAATCAAGAATTCCGAGCCCTTAGAGCCACTGGATACAAAAGTCCTCCTATTCACCCTCTCAATCATATTAATAATGATGATGGTAAGCCTTCTTCCCACGACACCTTTAGATACAGCAATTTCACAGCGATTCCAAGGAGCCTGAATTGGAAGAAGAAAGGAGCTGTTACTGATGTCAAGGATCAAGGCCAATGCGGGTACGTCGTGTCACGATGTGTGTGTGTGTGTGTGTATATATATATATATATATATATATATATATATATATATATAGAGTCAATCTCCTGTCCAGCATTTTTCTGTCCGAACGTATATATAGTTAACTGCGTTTTTCTATGTATAATTTGACGCAATTAACTTCAACGAATTATTTGAGTTTCTTCCTGATCGAATCTTGAGCTGAAATTTGGTATGTATAAACTAGACTTGATATATACTCAAAAACATTTATCAAAAAATTCTACCGAAAACCACCCCAAACAACGATGTTCGAACGAGGTTTGAACCGGGAGGTGCTTGACCTTAGAATTTCTATATGTATATATATTTGGAATTTTCTAGGTGTAGTATAATTACACCTGGAATAAGCTAGATGGTACTACGTACTCGATCCAAATGTTTTAATTAGTGTAGGGAATTTTCGGTTCGGTTAATAAAAGTAGTGCTTAATTACAGGAAGCTGTTGGGCATTTTCTGCGGTTGCGGCGGTAGAGGGCATACACGAAATATCAACGGGGAACCTAATTTCACTCTCTGAACAACAACTCATAGATTGCAACACCGTGAACAAGACTTGCCAGAATGGAGGAGGTATGGGCCAAGCTTTCGACTATATCTCCAATAACAATGGTCTCACAGATGACCAAAGCTACTCATATACGGGAGTAAACGGGACCGGCTGCCGCAGCAAATTCTCGCCGGCCATAAAGGCAGCGGCTGGGATCACGGGCTACGAAAACGTTCCGATTAATAACGAGACGGCTTTGTTACAGGCCGTGGCTAACCAGCCGGTCTCGGTCGCAATTCAGGCAGGTCAAAAGGCGTTTCAGTTCTACCATAGAGGCGTGTTCGTCGGCAACTGCGGGACCGAGCTTGATCACGACGTCACGATCGTGGGGTATGGGAAAAGTGTGGAGGGCATGGAGTATTGGGTGGTAAAGAACTCATGGGGCTTCAATGGGGTGAAGCGAGCTACGCTAGAATGGCAAGATGCATTCTGACGCCAGGGGACTCTGTGGCCTCGCCATGGCTGCTTCCTATCCAACTGTGGCGCCTTAATTACCTTCTTTTTTCGAAATTATTTTATGTGCCTATTTAGAGCCTCTTTGTCTGTGATAGTGTGAATTTCCTATCATGTATGTTTGTATTTTTAACTAGTTTTTATTAGTTCTAGTTGTGGAAATTACACATTTTTGGTGTAATACTTTGTTTTCATAATTATTTGTAATTTGTTTAGATTAGGACTATTCTGAGCTAAACAGGTCAAAACTCATCCAAGGGATCAAGATTGGACCTCAAAAGATCAAGGAAAGTGCAAAGAGACATGAAAGATTTCGATTTGGAAAAATTACTCTTATACCCGGTCGGGTATAGGCAATACCCGATCGGGTATTTGCTTGATTCGGTTGTCCAAATCAAATCCGGGAACAAAGGATCGTGGGAGCAAATTTTCGTAAAGATTTGTCACATACCCGATCGGGTAAACTGACATACCCGACCGGGTATGTCCAGAAATGTGGCTTTTCGGGAAATTTCCTAAGATACCCGATCGGGTATCCTATATACCCGGTCGGGTATCAGCCCCTGCAGCTCCCAAAAGCCTATAAATACACCCCTTTCCTTCACAATAAGATATCCAATTCACCGGAATTTCGAATTACGGTCAAGAAGCCTAGCAGCAACGAGGTGGCTGTTCGTCGTTTTATTGTTCACGATTTGGGGTTCTTGTTGATTTCCGACCTCGCCTGGATTTCCGACCTCGCCTCGCCTTGATTTCCGACCCCGCCTGGATTTCCGACCTCGGCTTGCTCACTGGAACGCTGAATCGAACTAAAATTCTCAGGTTCTTTAGTTTTCTGTTCTCGTTCTGTTGGTTTGGGCTGTAGCATCTGATATTAGGTGTGTTGGATTTGAGGTAGCTGAAGCTCAAAAACGATTTGCACTATCTGTTGAGTATTGTAATTTCACGCTGCAGGCTTGTGGAAACTCTGCAACTCTGTTTTGTTTATTTTTGAGGCAGCAATTCACGCTTCACCAGACCTGTAATTGTAGAGCTTGCTTTGCTCTGCGATTCCCAGTTCAGGGGTTACGAACGTAGCTGCTATGAGTACCAAGAAGAAACAGGGGCCGGTTACAAGGTCTAGTTTTGATGTGTTGCACGATTCAGATTGTGAATTTCCAGCTCTAATGCACGGCATTAATGCGAAGAAGAACAAAGGGTCTGCTGTGGTTAAGCCACCTGCTGGTATTGATATACCTGTGGCTTTGTCCCCTGCTGCAAATGCTCTGGCCGAAACAGTTAAGGGTAATGCTTTGACCCCTGCTGCAGTTAAGGGGACTGCTGCAGTAAAGGGGACTGCTGCAGTAGTTAATGAAGGGGGAGAACTAATTGAAAAACCAAGTGCAAAGGCAACCGAACCATGGAATGCTCTCTTTAAAGACAACCGTGACCCTAGGCATGGAATTAAATTGAAGTATGTACCTCCTAAAGGCGAAACATTGGACCTTGGAGACCGTATTTTACCCTCCATGGTTGAAATGTGGGGTTATTGCCTAGTTGGCCACTTCACCGGAAAATTTCCCGGACTCAAAGCGGTGCATGATCTCAAAGTTACATGGGGTGTTAAAAGCCTTGTGAGGTCCCACAAAAAGGGTTGGATGATTTTTAAGTTTCAAAATGAGGAGGATAGATCTAAGGTACTACATGGGGGACCGTACACCGTATTTGGGAAACTCCTAATGCTTAAGGAACTCTCAGAAAATTTTTCTTTTGAGGATGAAGAATTCCTAAAAGTACCCATTTGGGTTAAGTTTCATGATTTACCTATGCAATTATGGAATGATGAAGCCATGAGTGAGGTCGCATCCATGGTTGGTGTCCCGATAACAACGGATAAAATCACTCAAGAACGGATCAACAATGATTATGCTCGAGTGTTGATAGAGGTAGACATCTCAAAACCACCACCACTCTCTTTTCCTATAAGACTACCTTCCAAAAAGGTAATTAAGCAAAGTGTGGTATATGAAACTTTTCCTAGTTATTGTTTTTATTGTAAAGAATTTGGCCATCATCCTTTTATTTGTAAGAAGTTATCTAAATGTGGGGTTGGGGAAAACAAGGAGAATGGAAAATCTATTGTGGTTGTTGGTGATTTTGAGGTAGCTAAACATGATGCTGTTCAGCCAGAGTCTGTTCAGGGGGAACACCCGACCGGGCCACCTCTTAACTCGACCGGGTCACAGGGGAATAACAAGGTCCTGGGCCTAAACCCGAGCGGGCCTTCTCACAACCCGACCGGGTCCCTGCGGCAGAATGTTTCGCAGCCTCCTGCAGCTTCTGTTGGGGGCAAGCCGTGTGTCCAGGAAACTTCTGAGGGTGTAAAAAAGGCTATTTCGTCTAAGAAACAAATGAATGAGGATCATGAGGCTAATTTCGAAGAAATTGAGAGGGTTGTGACAAATGAATTGGAATTGCATCAACATGATGTGGTCACCAAATGTGAGATACTAAATGGTAAGACACTCAAGTTAGTAGTCAAACCGTTTAGATTTGTGCATGCTAGTGTCATAAGAGTTGATGTCTCTCTTCGCCTTACGGATGATTTGGACAAAAAGGGTTTAACGTTCACCGCTAAATGTCTCGAAGCCATACCGGGAGTTACTAAGAAGAAAGGAGAAGTTGTCTTTGACTCAAAGTTCACTGTTCCTTTCCGGGGTTTCTTTGGATGTTAAATTAGGGATACCTAATTCTTGTTGACTTGTAAGACTATGCTTGTTGTTCTTTTTGGGGCCCATATGGTGGACGTGTGAGATCATGTGGTTTTGATTTTGTGGTATTCCGTATATTGGGATATGCACTTTGATTGTACGATTGATGCATTGTACTATGCTATTTTTCTGGATATAATACATTTACATTTTATCCAAAAAAAAAAGATATCCAATTCCTTTGTACATCTAAGCTCAGTATAGAATAGCTCTTTCTTTATATTTTTCATCATGTTTAGTCTCCAAATGAGGAGCTAAACTCTTCCATCTTGGTTTTGCTACTTTGAATCTTAATGAATTTGTAAGTTGTGAATTATTTTCTTTAATCTTCTTCCTTGAATATTAATTCTTCCTTTAAAATACTATTTCTATATCAAAGTTGGGGAGTGTTACTAAGATGACAATTAGTTAACATCTTGACATTGGTTATAGTAATAGCTATTTCTTCCTCTATGTTAATATTGGGGAGTGTTACTAAGATGACAATTAGTCAACATCTTGATATTAATCATAGTAGGATTCATATTCTTTAATATTCTTCCTTGAGTATTAATTAATTCCTATTCATATTTCATGTTAATATTTTAAACATTACTTAAAGTATCAACTGGTATTGTTTCTCATATAAATCATTACTAGAATCGATCGGTTAATACGCTTGTTATTAATCCGGTTCTTTCAACGGTAGTAAACTTGGAATATTAATGCATGCATCTCATGGTTAATATGCCAAGGGGAATTAATTATATTGATTAAACCAATAAACCGCTTGTGTTGAGGTTATCAATCTCAATCGTTTTCATCTTAAGTTTTTTGCTACTATCAAGTTAATATACGGCGCTTGTTCTATATTGACTCGATAGTAAGTTTTATTAATGAACGCATCTCGTTATTAATAACTACCCTCGATGAACTGGATATACTCCTCGATTGAGTATTCGAGAGGAAGATAGTTAAAGATATAACCGGGATCGACGAACATTTCATTAAGTGGATAAAAGCAAAACCAAGTCCTCATCTCATTGAATTAAACTCATATAGGTTGTTTATCTTAGTGTTTTTAAATCAAACAAATCTAAACCCCCCTTGTTACTACTTATATAAAAGAAAAGTATTCCTTTCCATGTGGATACGAACCTTACTTCGTTATACTACGTATATTCGTTGTATTGATTAATTATTTTGAGTGCACCTCACGACAAGTGCACGTCAGTCTGCACGAAAATCGGCTGTTTCGGCTGATTCTGCTGAAATTTATGAAGTTCTGGCTGAAGTGGTGGCATTGGCTGATTCTGCTGATACAAGAAAAAAATATTTTTAAAATATATTTTATTAATAAAATAAAGAAAAAATTATATCTAAAAATTGCTAAAATGATCATCTACAGTAACTTCAACCAATACAGCCAGAAAAGTAACTTCAACCTTACTTTTTCGGCTTATTACACAATTCAGCGCGCGAAAGCAAAATTTACGTGTTTGGTAAAAAAGTTGGCTGATAAGCCTGATAAGCCGAAAATGAGGGTTGCCAAACGGCATCTTATTTTGTTTGACAAATGGTACCATGGTCCTTAATTGGTATTACATGTGTTTTTGTTTTTGTTCCTTTATTTTGTTTGCAAGAATGCTTATTTCTAAAGCTAGTTACCTTTGGAGAACATAATTCCACGTCTTCTAGCTTTTGTACTTTTTAATATGGCTCTAAAAGCTTGTAGTTGTACGTTTGACATGACAATTTTTAACATCTTTTTTTGAGATGCTACAAGGAGTAACATCTAAGAAAAGCCCGTGACTTTTAGTATTAATTAGTTCTAACAGCTTATATACCAAACAGAATTAAATCAAACAGTCACCTTTTTAATTACCAAACAGCTATCACCCTTTCTTTTTAAGATCTTTTAAATCACCAAAATCCAACAGTTACTAAAAAGCTCACAAAATTATCTTTTCAGCTAGTTGTGCCAAACATACCCTATGAGTATGTTTGGTTATGTCACAAGATTTAAGGGAGAATAGTACGGATAATGAATAGTATAGAAAAAAAGTATAGAAAGAGTAGGAGAAAAGGTGAAAAAGTAGGAAATAGAGGATAAAAAGTAGAAAAAGTAAGGGTGATTGGGTACTTTTAAATGGAAAACTTACCAAAAAGGGAAAGTGTATGGAACTTTTAAATACATCCCAAAATAAAAAATGTATGAAACTTTAAAATACGAAGGGAGTATAATGATAACGAGAAAAGTGTCAATTTAGTACATGAGGTTGTAAGCGGGGGAGTAAAGAGTACATCATTTTGCAAGTGTGATTTTGAGGTACATGAAATCGCCAAATCAGTGCTAATTGAGTCCATCGGGGTATTAGAGCGTTTAAAACGCATAGGTGGCAAACGGATTAGTGATATGACAAAATAAAAAGCCACCTCATTAGTTAACTTGTCACCCTTGTGTAGCCTCCTCTGAACCAGATTGTAACACTTGAGATTTAATTTAAATGGATTAATAGGACTACTCATACCAACGGGGTCGGGGTGTTACACAGATCTTCCTTCCCAGAGGCAGGTTTTACGTGTCGGCCACTCTCCGCCGGTGGAGATGATGGTCGCAGGCTCGCAGCAGGGCAAGGAAGGCTACATGAGCTAGCTTCCGGTGGGAGATCGGCTCAGCCTCGAAATGTATCTTCTGTGACCTCCAAACCACCATTAATGGCGGAAATCAAGAAGTCCAAGCCGGAAAATCCTTCAGGCCACGCCCACAACAAGGTGGAGAAGCAAACCTCACGCGGTGACCGGCGTTCCTGCGACGGAAGCGGCTGCAGCGAAGGCTGACAGAGGGTCACCGTCGACTAGCCCAAGAAGCTCATTCTCCTTTTCCACAACTTTGAGGGAGAAACAACCGTCGCAGCTTCCTATCCAACTGTGGTGCCTTAATTACCTTCTTTTTTGAAATTATTTTATGTGCCTATTTATTTTGTTTGACAAATGGTGCCATTGTCCTTGATTGGTATTACATGTGTTTTTGTTTTTGTTCCTTTATTTTGTTTGCAAGAATGCTTATTTCTAAAGCTAGTTACGTTTGGAGGACATAATTCTACGTCTTCTAGCTTTCGTACTTTTTAATATGTCTCTAAAAGCTTCTAGTTTTACGTTTGACATGACAATTTTTAAGAACTTTTTTGAGATGCTACAAGGAGTAGCATCTGAGAAAAGCCCATGATTTTTAGTATTAATTAGTTCTAACAGCTTATATACCAAACAGAACTAAATCAAACAGTCACCTTTTTAATTACCAAACAACTACTATCTTTTCTTTTTAAAATTTTTTCAGTCACATATGATGCTAGGGTTTTAGGGAGAAAAACCTAGTCTACTGATACCATATGAAAGAATAATTGTGAGCATAGAATGACTTTCCCTTTTGGGAGCCCTAGCATCATATATATACAGGGGCGGAACTGCCGGGGGGGCAAGGGGGGCCGGTGCCCCTGCTTCGGCCGCCGGAGATATGGGGTAGTGGGGGTCCGCCGGGCGCCGGTGGTTTGCGGCTCTGCGTTGACATTTCCGGCGAAGAATGCTTGAACCATGGCTGCTGCGACCGAATGAGGAAGAAGGGGGATTTTTTTTAGTTTAACGAAACGACGTCGTTTCGTATTGGGTTGGGGAAAAAAATTGGGCCAATCAGGTTTGGCCCAGCCCAGGGTCAACTAATTACCTAGTACGCAGGCCCGCAAGACACAAACCGGCTCCAGCTCTCTCTGCACTCTGCTCTCGTTGTCAAGCAGTCCGCCAGCCACCGCCGCCCGCTCAGCTCTCTGCCTCTCTGCACAAACCGGCGGTTGATTCCGCCTTTCAAACCGCAGGCCGCCGGCGTTGGTCCCACACTCCCACCGGTCACAGCCTCACCCTCACAGGCGAGTTGGCGACGCCCCGAGTCCCGACGGCAACGGTATGTTCCGAGTTCCGATTTCCTATTTCTTTTCTTTGAAATTAAATAAAATTTGGTATTTGAATATTCTTTTTTTTTAAATTCATAGTCATGATTTGAAAAAGATGTTATATGTAATTGTGTAAAATAGATTGAACTAATTAACTAAATATAACGATTATGTATTTATGTGTTATTGTAATTTTTTGTGTTAATGTATTGTTTCATTTGTTTGTATTAATGAAGTATTTATAATAGATTAATAGTTCGACTTGAAATCTTGAATTAATTATTTGTTGTTTCAATATTTGTCATTAGGGGATGTCAATTGAGAAGTATTTTTCCCGGAAAAAAATACCAAAAACTTTCAATTTACATAAAGTGATTGTGCCCCTGCTTAATTTTTTCTCTAGTTCCGCCACTGTATATATACTCGTAAATAAAAGAGTACTTCCTCCGTTCCATAAAAGTTGCAACATTGGAATTTATTCACTATTCACACACCTTACTTTGACTACGATTTTCTAATAATATATATAATAAAAATATTATGTATAAAATATTAATAAATTTGTATTAATGTAAATTTCCAATATATTAACTTTTTTTAATGTTTACTAATACACAAATAAATATAATTACAGTCAAAGTTGCGCGTTGACAAATGTGAAAGTCAAAATGTTGTAACTTTTATGAAACGGAGGATAGTATTTAGGGGGTGTTTGGATCTGATTCTTAAAACTGATTCTGCTCCTTCAAGGAGCAGAAGCAGAAGCTGCAGTGTTTGGGTGAAAGTGCACAAGTGATTCTGATGCTCTAATTTACTACTAGAATCAGTTTTTTTAGAAGCTGGGGGTGACCAGCTTCTGAAATCTGATTCTGATTCTGCTTCTTCTTTAAAAAAGAAGCAGAAGCAGAAGCAGAAGCAGAATCAGTTCCAAATACCCCTTATATAAGAGTCCCTGTAATATTCTATTAGTATGTACGTAGTTAAAAAAAACTTCAATCAGTTATTGAGCGTGAAAGGAATTCTGTGATCCGATCGATTTGATTGATGTGGTACCGTGCTATAACCGCAACATAAAGTCCACAATTATTGTTGTGACTCTACTCTAGTGAGGTTGCATAACACATGACGTATTTGAAATAGGGTGTATAAATACCCTCTTGCCGGCCAGCAAGTATATTATATACTACAGCTTAATATATATATACGGAGTATATATGATGGTTTCATGGGTGGGATTTAGTTGGCTAGTCTTAATTTGGCAGATGATATTTGTGATGATGAGTACAAGCTCGTCGCTGCTACCCATAACGCAGGAGGGGCACGAGAAATGGATGAATTATTATGGACGAGTGTATGAAAACGAGATGGAGAAGGAGTCTCGGTTTGCAGTATTCAAAGAGAACCTGGAGTTCATTCACGCCTTCAACCGGAAGAAGAACCGGTCTTTCAGGCTCGGCGTCAATGCCTTTGCTGATTTGACTAATCAAGAATTCCGAGCCCTTAGAGCCACTGGATACAAAAGTAGCCGCAATCTTCGTCTCAATGACAATAGTGATGCTAACCCTCCTCACCCCAACCCCTTTAGATACAGCAATTTCACTGATATTCCAAGCAGCCTCGATTGGAGGAAGAAAGGAGCTGTTACTGCTGTCAAGGCTCAAGGCTTCCAATGTGGTACGTATGCAATTATTACTTATTAGCTAGTATGGAAGATGTACATATATACGCCTACTTTAATTATATCATCAATACTTAGCTTGATACTTTTTCATTCAATACACAATATATAAAAGAAATCGTTTCAAATTCGAAATAATTACTGTATGTTTTATTCTCCACATAAGACTTACTCCCTCCGGCCTGAAAAGGTTTACCAAATTTTCTTTTTTGAATGTCCCAAAAAGATTTGTTATTGTGAAACAAATTTTATAATTTTCAATATCCACAGTCATTTCCATTTAATGTAAGGATTATGTAGCTAAAATTAATTCTCTCTCTTCTGCACAAATTTGAACCATACAGTTTTTACTTTATTCATTCACGTGAAAGTCAACTTTAGCCAACCTTTTTGGGACGGAGGGAGTATTTGGTTAGTCCAAACTCAAAAAGCTTTTTTGATTTATTACAACAATTTCCCTAGGTGTGCATTATTAGTTCTCTATACTTATGAGGGATTTCTTTATAAATGGACAACAATGTGACTAAGAGCCCGTTTAGCAGCACCAAAATCGACTATTCTGACTGATTCTGTTGAAATTTATGTAAAACTTTTGAAAAAGTCATGAAAATCACTACCTGTTTAGTACAAATGTGACTCTCAATACATTTGGATACTTTCAATGACTTCAAGTGTCATTGTTGCCACCACTGAAGTGACCGTCGCCTTACCGATGCCACTCCCTCCGCGAAAATGTCACTATAATCGATGTGAAAAGTTTCTAGAGGAAATTAAAATAAAACAAAATAAATGATTCCAGTAAATTTTCCGGCACCCGGCGGAAGAGGCGGTTTCCGGTAGCAACCAAAGGTAGTGCTTGCTAGAAGCAACAATGGCACAACAGTGTGCGATGGGGGTACGGGTGGGTGTACGTAGTTGGCAATTAAAAGTTAAGTAAAAGAAATGTATGTATTAATTCAATAAAAGTTAAAGCAACATTTTTGGAAAAATAAAAACTAGTCATATTTTCGTCTTCAGAAAATGTAGAGGTAACATGATTTTGCCATTTTTCAATATAATTCCATGCAATATTACATCTTTTTTGCCGTTCCACCAAGTCTTATTTGGTAATTTTATACTACAATCATCCGTCCTCCTATCTGTGTCTCATTTTATTTTTTTCGGCGTTCCACTAAGTTTGTCTCATACAATATTTTGTAATATTCATAGGGTTACAATTCATTTTAACATTGTTCATTAATAATAATGGGCCATGCGTATCTTACAATACTAAATCTACTACATTTAATTAGCGAACAAAATAATAAACCTCGCGAAATTTTCAAAGTAGGACTAAAAACCGTTTAATATTTCTAGAGAGGAGTATATTTTTCCCTATGTAAGTGTTGCGCATGTAGTTTTTCAGATATATAGGAGTGTGTTTTCCCTATGTAAGTGTTGTCCTCTTGAAACCATATTATCAGACATTAATATGACATCATTAATGTCGTAATATGCAAAAATGTGGTCGGAAATCGTGTCCTGTTTTATTGGTCCTACTATTCAAGGAAATGAAATTAAGTTTTGAGTGATGATTTAAAAATGTTCTTTGTTAAGTATTCTGTGTATATTATAAAGGAAAAAAATTTTAATGTTCTCAACTTTAAAGGGGTGTGAGGTGAACACTCTAAACTTGTATATATGCATAATATAAATACCCCAAACTATAAATTAAAACTTGTATTAGCATAGAATCATGAACATATGATTTTTCTTTCACAAATGCAAAATATGGTGTTAACTAAATAATTTAAATACATTTAGCATTGGTAAGAGTGTAGTTAACATTCTTAGTATCTATTTGTGAAATAATGTAAGTATATTGCCTCAATCTACACACATAATTGCAACACTTTTAATTTTATAGTCAATACACAACTTTGACTATGAGTACAAATTACAAAGTGTAAAAAGTCATATTTTAATTTTTTTTCCGGAACAAAATGCATCATGTTTTGTATAAGAAAATTGGCTAATACATCATCAAATAGAGTGTGTGAATATTGTAAGGTGTATTAAATATGTTAATAATGAAAGTCGTGTGATGCGAATATCAAAGTGCTGCAATTATATAGACGAGGTATTATTATTTATTTCATAATGGAAGTTTGGAATGTTAACTGTACGTCTGTACCCTCAGGAATGCCAAGAGTAATTAAAAGAAGTATTCTAAATAATGTACTTCAACCGTAAATTTACATTTGTTAAAGAAAAAAAATATTCATAGTGCTAATATAACTTTTTATATAAAGTTTAGGATATATATATTACATATATAAGTTTTGAGTATTTACCTCACATCCTTTCTAAGTTTGACTATTGAAATTATTTTCTCATTTATAAAAGTATAAAACTTATAACTTTTGATAAATGTAACTTTCAGAATTATTGTTCGGGTGAAATGTATAAATGATACCTCAACTATTGATATTGTTGCGTTTTGGTCTCTGATCTAAAAATCATTCTTGGCGTCCGACTAGTCCCAGCCTAAGCGCTAGGCGGTGGACGGGCGCCCCGATTTTCGTCTAGACGCTCCGACTAATTGATTTGCCGCCTAGGTGAATTAGTCGACCGCCCATGGCGCCTAGTTGCTCGTCCAGAGCGGCTAATCGTTCGTCTGGGCCGTCTAGATTCGCCGAACACTACGTTACTTTTTAATTTTTTCTCTAAGCGACATAAGTACTTTAACTTTAGCCACAAATATACAGAAATGAAGTTATAAATTAAGATAAAAACTCTATATGTTTGTTTATATACCTAAGATTTATTATTATTTATATTTACAACACAATGAAGTTAAGTGATTAGTTATCATATACTCCCTCCGTCTCTTATAACTTTGTCAACTTTTTTTTTGATATCCCACTAACTTTGCCACTTTCCTTTTTAAATAAAGAATTTGTGGTTCCAGTTAATTTTCTCTTCTCTACACAATCCTCTACCACACAGTTTAACGTGCCGGTCAAACTTGAAAAAGTTATTAGGGACGGAGGGAGTACTACGTTTGATTAAATGTAATAATTATATCATTCATGTTTGTTAATGTGTGTGTATATATGTATTTTATACACACAAAATACAATATTACTTAACATATTTATGCAAAAATATATATAAAAATGCAATTTCTATGTCTCCGGCTAGGCCCCCGCCTAACCGTTTAGGCGCTAGGCCCTGGGCAAACGCCCGACTAGCCTGGGGCGAATCTAGCTTTGGCATCCAGTTGGGGCCAAAATTTAATTAAAATGAATATTCAAAAAAACGCTTATTCTAGCAACAAAATCAAAGGCAAAAATAAATATTACAGGAACAAGAATTTTCATTAAAGTCAAATACAAAAACACCATAATTTTACAACCGTTCTCTACGGGTTTTCATCCATTGATATCCTTTGACGGCACTTCAATTTTGGATGAGCTTCTTCCATTAGCTTTTTCTTCAAAAGGGTTGCAATATCTCTTCATTACCTTTATTCAAAATCACGGGATGACTAATTACTACACTAATATTAATAAACTTAATAATTAAATTAATAAGAACAAGTCAGAAGCAAATTCATACTATAATTGATTACTACTCCCTCCGTTCCTAAATAAACTTCCAACTTTCCTTTTTTGTCCGTTCCAATTAAAACTTTCACTTTCCCTATTTGATAAAGAATTTGTGGTTCACAACATTTCTTACACATTTCTCTCTCCTCCGCACAACTCTCCACCACACAATATCCACTATATTAAATTTTGTGCCAAACCCATTTGGAAGTTAAAATGGGAATGGAGGTAGTACAATTTACAAGTTTACAAATAATAATCAAATTCACATCAAACAAGTAAGTTAAAAACACAATAAAATTAAAAGATTAAAAAATAACCTCTTAAGCACATAGGAATTAGGCAGCCGTTCTCAGGAGTCGGGAGTCAGGCCTCTGCAGCTCTGCTTACCGGTTACCACCCAAGAACAGCTCTCAGTTTCCTAATTACCACTCACTTGCCGTTTTTCTTCTGTAAAATTAATTTATTGAAATAGCAGTTAAGTTTGAAAACTATGTTAGTGCTCTATAAAAAAGTGTCAATTGGCTCTGAATATTCGAAGTCAATTGGCATGGGTTGAATATCTCAATGGTTAATTAAAGTGTCAGTTTACCAATTACCACCGTTCACCAAAGAGAAACTAGAGCAGCAGCCTCTAGTGCGCCGTCCGGCGATCCGACCGTCCGAGTGCTGAGCGCCTGAGCGGGATGAGCCACCGTGCGCCGTCCTGACCGTCCGGCAGCGACTGAAGATGGACGAGGGCTACTGCGCAATGAAGCACGGAAACGGCTGGGGGTAGGAGTTTCCCCGTTTTGGAAACGTACGAATGTTTCCCATCGTGGGAAACGGGGAAAACGCGTTTCTGGGCAGTTTCTTAATTTTGGGAAGTTTGGAAACCCGTTTCCCAGTAAAAAAACCGGTTCTGATAAAAAAAATTGGCCCAACTTACTTTCACTCTTCAAGTCTTCAACCCTACGCATACCAGTCAAGTTCCGTCGCATAGCAGTCAAGTTCCGTCGCAGGCTTCAGCACAGTTCGCCGGCTTCAGCAGACTTCGCCGGCTTCATCACAGGTCTTCGTCGTTTAGGTAAGTTTCTGAGAGTTTGAAATAGTTCCTCTCATCCCCTGCCTTCGTCGTTTTCAGCAGGTGGTTCTAAAAACGTTTTCAGCAGGGCCAGGGTCGTGTTGTACAGGTCGTAGCCACCAGTCGTCTATTTATTGTGTTTACTGTTTAGTGTCGGTGGGTGTCTGTGAGTGGTAGCCAAAGTGAAATTTAATAGCTTGTGTGTGTGCGTAAATTTAATAATACATATATGTGTGTGTGAATATATATATATATATATATATATATATATATATATATATACATACATACAAAAATTCACAAATATATACTACGTGTATATAATATTTATAAAATAACCTCTATATTTTTAATATTTGCGTGTTTCCCCCACGTTTCGTGTCCTGTATTTTTGGCAAATGGTGTTTCCGACGTTTCCCGTTTCCCGTTTTCCGTTTCCGTGCTACTTAGCTGTTGCGTGCTTGCGTGCTAGATTTCTAGGTCAGGAATTGGTTTTTGGCGTTTGGGGGTTTTGCCGAACTCGCTGAAGCAGAAAGAAAGAAAGAAGCGGACTGCTGGACTTGTTAATTTGATTGGGCCTGATTTTTAAAAAACTGAGACTGGGTCTGATTTTTAAACCTATATACTACTACCTCCGTCCCTTAAAACTTTGTCAACTTTACTTTTTTGGATGTCCCACTAACTTTGCTATTTTTCCATTTAAGTAAAGAATTTGTGATTCCAGTTAATTCTCCGTGCCGGTCAAACTTGGCAATGTTTTAAGGGACGGAGGGAGTACTTAAAAGGAAATTCTAAATACACACACTTATTTACTAAACACAACCCGCATATATCTTAATTCCTAATATATCATTCTGACAATACGAGACGCACTTAGCTTTGACGATATTGGCATGGAACGACTAGCAACAGAGTTCGAGAAGATGACAACACAGCTTCTAACCAGCTCACCAGGGACCTCCTATGGTCATGATGGCAGTACCAATTGCCGCCATAATAGGCAAAAACGCTAAGGCTATGAAGTCCGACCATTAAACTATCAAAAAAATAACATTAGTTCATCCTTTTATGCCGCTGTAACTTCATAGTAAATGTTAAAATCCTACACCGAAGAAGTTTGAATCAACAAAGTGGTATATTAAGACATGATTTACTCCTCCTATTAGGTTGACCTTTTAGGATGGAACCCCAAGATTTTAACATGGTACCAGAGCCAAACTGATCCATAACCATGGTGTGGGCCCCTTATGAAAAATGACGACACGATTAAAAAATGACAATGACGAACCGACGAAAAAATGACTGACGGCACGATCAAGACGAAGTGTCTGGTCTTGAGGAGGGGTGTTAAAATCCTACACCGGAGAAGTTTGAATCAACAAAGTGCTATATTAAGACATGATCTACTCCTCCTATTAGGTTGACCTTTTAGGATGGAACCCCAAGATTTTAACAGTAAACAAGCATTAAACTATCAAGAATCTGATTGGAGTTTTCCCAGGAACAGATCAATAGATCAATAGATTTATTGGGGTATATATAGGTCGCAACCTTTAATTTTAAAGATCACACTTGTGAGCGTTATTACTAGAAATTGCATCGAGGAGAAGAAACGATTTGGCAGTTTAAGGTTTGGGAGAATTATCATTGATGTTGCTATCAGAAAGGTGTTGCTACTTCGCTAGGTTGCAGATTTTTCTTGTCTCGTCTGCATGTTCGTCGAGAAGAAGACGTTCGGAAGCTCAACAGTGTAAAGATTTGGCCGCCGATATCGTTATGCCGTCGTCGGTTCTATTACTGGTTTCGGCGGCGATTCGGACTGCCGTCGTCGCCGTCGAAGGTAGGTGGTCAGAAGTTGAAGTCTTGTTGTCTACTGGAATGTAGTTGGTATTTGTTCCATGGCGCTGCCAGTATCACCGGAAGCTAAGGTCGTGCCGGTATTGTTAGAAGGATATATTAGGAATTTAGGATATATGTAGGCTATGTTTAGTAAATATGTGTGTGCATTTAGAATTTCCCTACTTAAAAAAAAAAATATAAGCATGGACCTGGGCCCTCCCTGGCCCTGGACCCTCCCTGGCCTTGGGCCCAATCTGCCCTGGGATTAGCGCCTAACTACTTTTAGAACATTGATTTTGATATCTTAATTTTTAAATGAATCAAATCAATACAATAACTATACATAAATGTTTTGAAACATACTCTCTATAATTTAACTTTAACTAAATACTGCGACAGGAAGCTGTTGGGCATTTTCCGCGGTTGCGGCGGTAGAGGGCATACACCAAATATCAACGGGGAAGCTAATTTCACTCTCTGAACAACAACTGATCGATTGCAACAGCGTGAACATGACTTGCCAGAACGGAGGAAATGTGGGCCAAGCTTTCGAGTTTATCATCAATAACAATAATGGTCTCACAAATGACCAAAGCTACCCATATACGGGAGTAAGCGAGACCGGCTGCCGCAGCAAAAACTCGCCGGCCATAAAGGCAGCTGCTCGGATCACGGGCTACGAAAACGTTCCGATCAATAACGAGACGGCTTTGTTACAGGCCGTGGCTAACCAGCCGGTCTCCGTCGGAATTGACGCAGGCGGCGGACAGGCGTCCGAGTTCCAGTTCTACCATGGCGGCGTGTTCTCTGGCAGATGCGGGAGCCAGCTTAATCACGACGTTACGATCGTCGGGTATGGAACAACTGTGAACGGCACAGATTATTGGGTTGTAAAGAACTCATGGGGATCTGAATGGGGCGAAGAGGGTTACATTAAAATGAAAAGAGGCATTCTTGACGCCAAGGGACTCTGTGGACTTGCCACGAGTGCTTCCTATCCAACTGTGGCTTAATTACGTTCCTTTTTCAAAATTAATTTATCTGCCTATTTATTTTGTTTGACAAATGGTACCAATGTGCTTAATTGGTATTACATGTGTTTTTGTTTATTTCCCTTTATTTTGTTTGTAAGAATGCTTATTTCTAAAGCTTGTTGCGTTAAGAAAACAGTGATAACTATTACATCTATAAATATCAATCTATTTAATTTTGAATAGATTCTTCATCGCGATTCCACCGCACTTCTAAAATTGAAATATCATTTCCAATGTAAAATAATACTAGTATAGATCAAGTTTAGCTAACTTGGCAATTGGGAAAGGGTCACACTGCCACCTCCGCCAAATTAAAAAAAGTTGTGGACCTATGACCCTAAGACCATCAATAGTCACTCATATGATCACGGGTGGAGCCACGATCTAGTCACTACAAAAAATCAAAGCGGTTGTCACGGATGTTATTACGGACTCCAGTTTTAGAAGTCGGTGACAAACAACTTTATCACGGATTTTGTTTTAGACATTTTTTGCGACAAAACGGGCGTAACAAATATTTGTCACGGATAGGGATCCATGACAAAAGATTTCTCACGGATGTGTCACAACCTAATTTCGTGACACATGGTCACCGGAGTATTGTGTCGGTTCATATTTGTCACAGATTTATCCTCGACAAAAATTAAAAAAAATTAAATTGTTTTTCTAAATTTTTCGAAACGGGAACGGCGGGATTTTAAAAAATTTGAATTTTTGTCATAGAGTGAATCTGTGACAAACTTTCGTTACATTAAAAAAATCCAAATTGATTTTTTAATTTTTTGGAAACGAAAGTGAAGGAAATAAAAAAGATTTGAATTATTTTGTCACGGACGCAATCTGTGACAAATTTTTGTTACATTAGAAAAAATTGTCACGGATGGAATCCGTGACAAACTTTTTTTATTTTAAAAAAATTACAGCGGAATTATAATAATTAAATAAAAAATGAAAATTCATACAATCACAATAATTTAACAATAATTCAAATTTAAAATATACTAGCTACGTGTTGGGGGGGGGGGGGGGGGGGGGGTCTTCGTCGTTTAGTATATTTTGTAATCTAAAAAACTTGCACAAGGCCCTGCTGGACAAGTAGGAAGGCAGAAGGTCGAAGCTGAGAAAATGGCATAAGACTTACCTTATTGACAAGCATAACGGGTCAACACTTACAGCACTCTGCATTAACTTTACATAAGACTTTAGTCTTAGGTCTTTTATTAACTTTACTAAATGATTTGGGCAGTAGGACTTAGGGATTTAGGGTATATTATAAGTATCTTGATATATTACAATTGTAATTTTTTATTTTCATTAATATAGTGAAGACTTATAATCTTTTATATGCAACCAGGGGCGGATCCAGGAACGGGATGTGGGGTGGGCTAAGTAGTAAAAAAAGTTGTTACTGCACACAAAATGTTTAATTTAGGATTGTTATCGAACTAAGCTTTTTTTGAACTACTCGAGTTTGAACGCGATTTCAAATCTATTATAATATTTACCCCTTCTAAATGTATAATGTTTACATTTTACTTTTATGATTTGAAAATAGAAATCCATTGGACTTATAATGTATAATGAATTACAAATAGAAAATGCCTACTTATAGCACTAAATTCAGTTTTCTTTGGAGAATACAACTACTATAGGGTTTATTCCTCACTTACATAATCCTTCATTTGGGAAGGGTAAAAGTATTAGCCCAAAATATTCTTAGGAATTTTCAGTGTTTTGGATTTCCGTCTTTAGAGTTTAGTATTATAGGTCCATCAACGGGCGATCAATGACTTTCCAAAGATCGATCATCAAAATTTCTGGTGGTTGATAGCAATCCATTGGACTAATTATTTTAATATTATTTTATGAGGTTCATAAACTTTATACTTTTATGAAGATATTTTAAACAAAGAACACTCTTATCATTTTTAACTCGGTCGACTAAAAAAATCAAAGATGATAAAGTTTTAAGGAAAGTGGCCAATATATATTTAAAACTTTTTTATCTTTTCTTTTCGGGTTGTCCTAAAGACTTTGTTACTTTCCACTTTAATCAATTACTTTGTGATTTTTTTCTCTTTCATGTATACAAACATCAACCACACAGTTTTTAAGTTACCATCATCTGTGCATGTAAAATTAGCAATTTTTTAAGAAATGGAGGGAGGACCTATTTATTTTTAAAATTACATTATTTATCGTGAGTCTCAATCAATTGTACTCGCGATTGTTTCAATGTTTGTACAATCCTCTCTTTTTTGTACCCTTTTAATTACTATTTAGTGTACAGTACTTTCATGGCATTGATATACGAAGTAGGTAGTAATAGTATTTTTGTTGCGTACTTCTATAGTGTACGTTACTTTTATAGACAAAATGTTCATCCGTGCATCGCACGGGTGGAATACTAGTTTAATTTAATGACTCAAGCTTAACAAGCTTCGAAGTCGAAAACGGCTAGATTTTCAGTTCGAATAGTTATTCAAGCTGAGTTTGAGCTTAGTGATGTTCGGTTCAATCCGGGCTCGACCTATCGTTAACTTATAAATCATAGGAATAAATAAAAATCGTATATAACTTAAAATTTAAACATTTTTAGTGCGATTTTATAAATTTATTAATGATTATTAAAGATTCTAATATTTCAAATTTCAATTGAAATTTTTAACTATTTCTGACATGTCCACATAATAAATAAATTATTCTCTAATCTTCAATTGTATTATAAATAATTTGATTGAAATAGTTGATAATATGATTGGATTGGATTGGGAATTAATTTTGGGGTGGGCTAGGAGTTAATTTTGGGATGGGCTGGACATTAAATTTATGCATATACTAATTAAAAAATAAAATTTAGGCTGGGCTGGAGCCCACTCCTGCTCACACAAGGATCCGCCCCTGTATGCAACTAAAACAGTGGATTGAATTTATATTTATACATCATTAACTTATTTAGTATTCCGTATTATTTTTATTAATAAAATTGTACAGAGTATGATTTATGATGACGGGAAAATGAAAACATGATTCGGGATATACAAAGAGAAAGAACAAATTAAGAAAGGATTTGGTTATAAAATCGTATGTCAACTCTATGGATCGATAATTGGTACGTAACCACAAAACCTTCTTCGTCAAATGTACGTTGTTGAGGATGAGGTACATAACTACAAATGTCGTGTTTGAGAATGAGTGTGAAGAAGTGATTTTATTCAATTTTGAATATTTTCCTTAGAAGAATATTCTCGTTGTATCACTAGTATATGATGCATTTCATATGTAATTTACTCTATTTAAATGATATTATGTTTTTTATATTATTATGTTGAAAAAAATATTTAAACAAAATATCTGTATAATTGTCTAGGGCCTCATTTGCACTCTAGACGGCCCTGGGCACCTGTCACCACCTCCAGGTGTGTGAAATGGTTGATAATAATATGCATACGGAAAAGACCCGGACAAGTTACTGGGGCTAGGCTAGAAACTCATTTTGCCCATGAAAGGAATTTGAGGGGTCAACTCAGGGTGCATTATGTGCATGAGAGGCCGATATGTGGCGTAGAATTGATCTATTTGTTGTTGCATCTTTTCCATCCTTTCTCTTGTTCTCCGGTCCTCTTCCCGTTGTTCTTGCAATTCTCTCTCCAGACGAGCATCTTCATCAACCGTCGGTTGAGAAGATGAACTAGCTCCTCTGGAGTTGTACAGAATCCGGACGCCTTCAGCACCCATGCACGAGACCCGGCCTTTATAAACCCCGGAAGCCGCCAAATAAGCCCCATCATCTTGAATCTCATCGAGTTCAGCATCAGAGTCACTTAGTTGGGCCCGTTTCTTCTCCAACTCTTCATCATACTTCTTCTACAAATTTATTAATTTATTACAGTTAAGATTAAATTTATCTCGGAATTTAAGGAATAATTGGAGTCAAGTTATTTACTGTTGTAGGGAGAATGATTCGTAGAGTTTCATTACCAAGAGCCCATATAAATAGGGATAGAGTAGGGTTTACAAGTACAGGCCAATAGGCCCATAATACATAATTTACATAGAAAGGCTCTAATACATATTCTATCTAAACGATAGCACACAACATATAATTTCCTTTAACACTCCCCTTTGTGCTGAGTTATAGATAGAATGTTGTATGTGTCTTGTTGCCTCTTCAAAACTCTGTCAAGTATCAAAAACCCTGTGGGAAAAAATAACCTTGTGACGTGCACTTGTCGTTAGGTGCACTCAAAATAAATACAATACAACGAATATACGTAGTATAACGAAGTAAGGTTCGTATCCACAGGGAAAGGAATACTTTTCTATTATATAAATAGTAACAAGGGGGGTTTAGATTTGTTTGGTTTAAAAACACTAAGATAAACAACCTACATGAGTTTAATTCAATGAGATGAGGACTTGGTTTTGCTTTTATCCACTTAATGAAATGTTCGTCGATCCCGGTTATATCTTTAACTATCTTCCTCTCGAATACTCAATCGAGGAGTATATCCAGTTCATCAAGGGTAGTTATTAATAATGAGATGCGTTCATTAATAAAACTTACTGTCGAGTCAATATAGAACAAGCGCCGTATATTAACTTGAGAGTAGCAATAAACTTAAGATGAAAACGATTAAGATTGATAACCTCAACACAAGCGATTTATTGGTTCAATCAATATAATTAATTCCCCTTGGCATATTAACCATGAGATGCATGCATTAATATTCCAAGTTTACTACCGTTGAAAGAACCGGATTAATAACAAGCGTATTAACCGATTGATTCTAGTGATAATTAATATGAGAAACAATACTAGTTGATACTTTAAGTAATGTTTAAGATATTAACATGAAATATGAATATGAATTAATTAATACTCAAGGAAGAATATTAAAGAATATGAATCCTACTATGATTAATATCAAGATGTTAACTAATTGTCATCTTAGTAACACTCCCCAATATTAACATAGAGGAAGAAATAGCTATTACTATAACCAATGTCAAGATGTTAACTAATTGTCATCTTAGTAACACTCCCCAACTTTGATATAGAGATAGTATTTTAAAAGAAAGAATTAATATTCAAGGAAGAAGATTAAAGAAAATAACTCACAACTTACAAATTCATTAAGCTT